ACCGCTAGAAATGTCTCCAGACTCGTGTGTGTGTGTGTGTCCCTACCTAGTGCAAACCTTGCCTGCCTCCTGAGGCCATGTGCGCAGATGGGCTGGGGCCACCTGGCGTCTCTGGATTTCATCACCCTCTGTCCTTAGGGTTATCTTTTTCTGGGTTAGACGAAACTCTACAGGAAAAGGATTGGACAGGCAGTGAAGAGAGGAATGACCCTGGGGAAGGATGGGGGAACCTTGTCTGAAGAAGCCAAGGAGGCATCCTGAAGGCAGCCGGACCACCTCTCCCTCCCGCTTCCAAACTACAGTGGAGAGGGGAGTAAGGACCCCATCGTGTTCAGGAGAGCCGAGGCTGGCAGAGTGGATCTCACCGAAGGCTCTCTGCCTGGGTTTCAGCTGGGAGGGTGACCTGGAAGACCCCAGCAGGCTCTTGGGTGTCTCCGCTCTGTTTTCTCACTTCAGAAGTGGTGACCCTGGTTCCTAATCACAGACTGCTGAGGGGCGGGCGATGAGGCAATGTTTATGATTATATAATTATTATATAAGTGACTGGCCTGTGGGTATGAGACCGGGGCCCTGAATTTTACTGTTATTACATTATTGGTACTGTTAGAAGGGCGGCTCCTGCTGCTAAGTAGAAAACAAAACAAAAGAAACCTGAAGCCAGAGACTGTAGCTGACAGGAAACAGAAATGAGGAAGTAAAGAAGCTCATTAGGGGCCAGCCCAGCACTTGGGAGGCTGACAGATGTGGATCTCTGAGTTCAGGTGAGTCTGGCATACATGAGTTCCAGGTCAGCCAGAGCAACACAGCGAGACCCTTTCTCCTAAACAAACAAACAAAAGTCAAAGCGGAAACTCTCAAGAAGAAAAGTATGGTATGGCGGCACATGATATAATCGCAACAGTCAGGAGAACGAGAAGGCTACAAAAGCCAGGCAACCTCAAAAATAAACCCATGGGGCTCGAGGGATGCCTCTTCCAGAGGACCCAGATTCAATTCCCAGCACCCATGTGGTGGCTCAACTGTTGTTACTCTGGTTCCCGGGGGCCTGGCGCCCTCTTCTGGCCTCTGCAGTCAACAGGCACACGAGGGGTACAGAAACATACATGCATGCAAAACACTCACATACATAAAATCAAACTAAATACATTTAAAAAGCATAAAAAAAAAACACGAATCCAAAACAATAAAGGCCAGTTGTGATACACAACTTGGGAGACAGAGAGAAGGATCAGGAGCTTACGGTCGTCCTTGGCTACATGACAAATTTGAGGCCAGCCTGGGTTACAGGAAAACTGTCTCTTTCAATTACCACACAACTTGTGGGACATCAATAATAGCAATTCATTCACCCCTTCAAGCGGCCCGTCTCCTTCGGTTGGACTAGACACATGGAGGAGGGCAGACATTTTAGCAAGACACACAGAGCACAAGTCAGGAACTAACATCATGCCCAGACGCTGGGAAACACAGAGGAGAAGCTGTAGACTTTGGATCTGGGTGCCCCAACAGTTAGAGGAAGCAGGGAGGCCAAGAGGCCAGGCGGTAACACTAGGCAGCCAGGGAGAGGAGGAGGGTGGCAGAGGTAGGGAGCCAAATGCAGGGATTGCGGTCATAGCAATGGGCTGATGGTAAAGGCACACAGGCAGATGAGGAACTAACTCAAGTGTCAGTGTGTAAAGAACAAGCACCCGTCCCTTATCTGCAGAGCCATGACCGGAGAATGAGGAGTAGCTGGGGAGAGGTGTCTTTCATGGACACTGGTGCAGGTGCCACTTTGAGAAGTCTTCTTGTTTGGTGTCGGGTGGAGAAGATTCAGGCAATTGCCAGCTAGCTAACCAGAGTCAGGAAGTACATGGTTTAAAGGTTTTGTTCCTCACTCCAGCCACTGGACGATGTCTGAAAAATCTTAATCATGCCAAACCACCCCCAAGAGTTCAAAAATCTGTCCAGTGACAACCTGGGCTCTCCTAACCGACAGACAACGCTTCTCCATGAGGCTGTGCGCTGCTGTACGTTCAGAGTTTCACTCTTGTGAGCAGAGCGGGAGGGCAGCACTTGGAGGCAATGTTTTGAGAAAGGCATGCAGGAAAGCAAGGAGGTAGCGTGGCCTGGAGCCATGACTGGTGCGCCCGCCCGCCCTCCAGAGAGCTCTCTGGCTGCCTCTACAGACAGGGTTGGTTTGTAAAAGCACCAGAAAGCCACACATTTGCATGTTATTTGTGCCCCAGGCTTCACTTCCAGGTATGTGGAATGAAATGAATGAATGAACAGTATTCAGTCTCCTGGTTAAGGGGTGGATTCAGAAATCCAGACCACAGTGAGGAGCCAATCACTGGTCCAGTTTGGATCAGCAGACAGTTGGGGGATATCTATCTGTGTAATGTATTCGTATATATAGATATGTACACACTCACACACACACAATCTTATATATATGAGAGGAGACAGAAACAGTCTCAGAGACAGACAAATATATTATTGAGTCCAGAGTCCCCAGTCAAAGCACAGAAGCAAAATCCACAGAATTTATTTTAAATAAATCAATTAAAAAAAAAACCCCAAAACTAAGGAGTGACACACAGAAAAAAGGCAGTATCCCTGACACATCCCCACTCCTGGCCCACTTCAGCTTCCTTCTCAACTATGTGCTCATGACAAGATCTGTTCATGTTGCTTAGCCTCCCACATCAGGCAAACCATGCACTTACAGACTGTAAGACCCCAAGGACAAGGTGGCTTTTATTTCCTTGGTCAAACCATCTTTCTTCCCCATTTCAGGGCCCTTAAGTCCAGTGCTTGGCCTCACACTTATGAGATACCTAGACAGGGATTCCCTGTGTTTCAGGTATGGAAGTGCCTTTAGAGGCACCCATCATCTGAGTGTGCAAGGGATATCGCTGTCAATAAAAAGGAGGAGACACCTACTCAAAGGGTTAAAAAAAAAAGTTCTGATAAGGCTCTTAGGGTGTAGCCTGAAAACCCCAAATGGCAGCATGCTGAACTGCTGAGGAGGAAGGTGCTTCTGCTGGAGGCCAAGGGGAACACTGTTTGCGATCAGAAGGAAACCTTTGGGACTACAGCACTCGGAAGTCCTTCCTCACATCCTTACAACACTGTTATTCTAAAGAAATGCTTCAGAGAAATGAGCCCTGCCGTATCCTCGGCACACCAGAACACATAAGTCTACACTCGATTAGAAAAACAGCATCAACCCAGTCTCCCGCCTTGACAGCTCAGTGCGTTGGTCCACCCTGCGAAGGCAAGCGGGAAGTTATCCCGTTCCCTCATTAGGACTACAGAAATCCAGACAGATTTTAAGATCATGTGACCAGAGGGCTTTAAGGTCAGATGTGGGTGTGCGTAATTAGTAGGTTAAGAAAGGACTAAAGTGAAGAAGGGTGCCTGAGCAGAGCGCAGTCAGGGCTCCTGGGTACCTCTCACACTTGCCTTTCCTAGCAGTTGGGTTCTGTCAGGGATAAGACAATCCCCAGAAGTCATTAAATGACTGACGGCTATTCCTCAGCTTAGAAGGAAGAAAAGTCTGCATCAAGGTATGTTCTATTTAGGCAAGGTTCTTGACTGACACTGATCTTCAACCTCAGTTTGAAATCATCTCACTCTGTCTAGCATCAGCCACGCAGACAGAGCAAGGAAAAACAACACAAGCAGTGCTCGTCACTTTTCCTCTGGGAGTTTTCAGAGCTTGGAGGATGGCACAGAGATTGGAGGGTCAGATTTTAAAAGCCAAGGGGCTCCTTCACGAAGCCTCTCCTGGATCCACTAGAGATCGTGCCATGGGCCGTGTAAGACCAGGTGGTGATGACGGGCAGGCTGTGTGGGGGTGGGGGGTAAGTTTGCCCTGTTATCTGTTCTACCCTTGAAGCACTGAGACACTAAAGCTACCAGTGCTGAGGACAGTGAGCAGAAGAGGCTGGCCTGATCACACTGGCTAAGGAACAGAACGTGGGATCACAGGGAACACACCTCGTATTTGGAGGAGTGAACCAACAGCAGGTCTCTGGGCTGTATGATGGAGAGAGACTTACATCAAACACTCCACAGGACTCCTGGGAGTCCCAGTGGCTCTCAAGCCATCAACCGGATGGAACAATCTTCCACACATCACACCACATGTTCTCAAAAGGGCAGAGACCAATCTTATTTTCTCTGCACACAGTCCAGGGATGACTGCTGGGACTGGTGTTTTTGTTTTTGTTTTGTTTTGTTTTTGTTGTTGTTGTTGGAAAGTCTGTAACAGCCATGCAATGCTTATCATCCTTCAAACAGTCCTTTTGTGGGGGAGGGGAGATGGATATGAGCACTGAAGCCAGGGGAAAAGAGACAAAGAGAAGGAAAACCAGAGGCAGGCACATTTAGTTAAAGCAGGTTAACAGATACGGAGCATACCCTTGGCCACAGACTACAGAAACTCTTCAGTCTTGGTCATCAGAGCTGACTCCAGAACTAAGGGGTTTCCAGGTACTTGCCCTGCTCTTGCTTGGCTGGCTCTCGAAGAACGGCTTATTACACAAGTCTGCACACACTCCCGAGAAGCCACCCCACCACACCTGCCACTCCTATTAGTCCTGGGATGGGCAGTGACCTTGGGGTCACTAGCTTTCACCTGGTACACATTCAAACTGCACTGGAGAAAGGGAGCCGACTTCAGACAGGCTCAAGAACTCCTTATATATTTTGCAAAGTGCTTTTGTTGCATGTCTCATATTCTGCTATACATGGCAATAAATATTTGCTGCTTTGGTCCACACAAAAAGTCTCTGAGGAAGATAAAACAAACAATAAACACAGAAAACTGTCTTTGATGAGCCCCAGACAGTAGTGAGATAAGCCTGAAAAGCTTGTCTTTATAGTAACAGTCCAAAGTGCCACGGAGTAAGCTGTCACTTAAATACAGCAAGTACCAAGTCAGACAGTATTCTAGTCCTACAGTGAGTCTGCATGCCACGGTTTTCTACAAGAGTGTGAAGGGTCCCAGCAACTCAGACACAGAAAGCTATTTATTTCCTATGGAAAATCAAAAGAAAGAGAAAGGGAGGGCAGAGGAGAGAGGAGCAGAAGAAGGAAACGTAAGTGTACAAAGGGGTCTCTTCCTCCAACATGCAGGGGCAAGGAAGAGCGGGGACACTAGGTGCTGGAGTGGAGACGCGAACATTCAGTTTAACAATGGAATATTAAAAAAAATAGCTGTTGTTGTTTTCAAATTGTAACCTGTGGTAAAACATAGAAAAATGTACTAAACAAGCTTGGTATAAAACAGAGTAGAATTTTCAAATAAGCCCAAGGAGGAAGCACAATGCTGGAAAGGGCGGGGCTCCGGGGAGAGGAGAAGAGTTTATATAAAACTACCCATTACAATACAGAAAAGTATAAAATGTTCCTGCTCTGGAACGTAAGTACAAAATGACACTGGCATTGGATCATCTCACCATCTAGACCTTAGGAGCTCTCAGAGGGTGGGAGAGATGTAGAAAGAACAAAAGGAATAGCAGTTTGAAAATCTCAGGCTTAGCAATTTAACTCCACCCGTTTTTTGTTGTTTTGTTGTTGTTTTTTTTTTTTTTTCAGCTGAAAATGATGTTTACCTTGATAACCTTTACTCCTAAGCCAAAATTCATCCAGATTGCAAAATACTCTTAGGAAGTCTACAAACACCCAATGCAGAGCAGCTGTTGGGATCACCGTGTGCTGGAATCTTAAAGATGAAAATAAACCTACAGACTAAATGGTGAACACATTCAGTCTTTTTTTTTTTCTTTTAAAAGCATACCCCTGTGAAATATATATTTCACGTGTGTGTGCATATATGCATGTATATACACACACATATAGATAAGTATATATGTATATAAAATTCTCTGTGGTTAGAAACACATTTAAACTAACTAGCCACAGACCATCTAGACCTGTATTCATCCAACTCTGGTATCTGATGCTAAAGACCGAGGTCCTTCTTCTTGGTCAGAAGCAGGCAACAGTGAAGCGGGGCCCTGTCGCTGCACTCAGCACTTCTGGGGGGCGTCCTCTCCACAGCACATACGCTAGCACACGCAAAGCCCTGCTTGCCAGGAAAGGCCTCTCATAACTTAAGGGTCTGCCAGGGCTTGTGCGCTGTGCTCGGCGTGGGATGACCCTACCAGTGACCAAACAGCTTTGAGGAGAAGCAGTTGGGTTTCACATCAGGGCACAGAAACAGGAAGGGTTCTGCAGGAGGGACTTAAGCGTGGGCCTCCAAGTCCAGTTTACAGTCCCGTTCCTACCTCTGCATCTCGGGAATCATGTGTATGTCTACGTGCTGGTGGTTTTTATCCCTACCTGCTGTCCATGCCCTTTCCTACTTCTCGGTAAGGCCTAACAACAAGAGTTTATAAGAAACCAAGATTCTTCCCAAGCTTTCCGTGGGCTCCCAATTAGGGACTCAGTGAGGCTGGAGCCCTTTGGAAACAAGATGGCAGAAATGAGGTGAAAAGCAGTCTCTCTCCAGCTTAGGGATGTCCCTCACCCCTTTCACAGCACCAAAGTTTCTTTGCAAAAATAGTATCTGAGATACAAAAGGAAAGGCAGATGTGCTTGTGAGTGCATCTTGCCTGGGCTGGTCCAGGATCAAGGGCTGCACAAGAACAGGGTGAGGAGCAGCTGTCCCAAGGTCTCTGGCTGTAGATGGCAAAGGGCTGGTCCCCATACTATCATGTCTGTTCTCTGAGACAGTCTTCACAAGAGCTTCCGGTGGAGGATCTCCCAGACCATTCGCTTCCGGAAATACGGCATGTGTTGCTGTAGGGGCATAGACACACTCTTAATTTTCACTTTTGTAAGCACAATACTCCTTTCTCCATACTCCCTTTTTTCTTAAGGTTTTCAGCTAACACACTCAGTGACATTTCTGGTCTTTCAAACCTCTCATTCATGGTTCCATGCAGCCTTTTCTTAGTGTTCCTTTCTAGTACTATTTACACTCTGTACCTGAAGGAGTTACAGTGGGCATTATCTGGAGTCTCCAGGCTAGGCCCAAATGACTCCCAGAATTCGGAGAACGGTGCCTCTTAAGAGAGTATGCGACTAAGGCCTGAAAATGAAAAGTACTTTCTCAGAGAAGAACTAAGAGAACGTCAACCATTATCTCAGTTTGGTCTAGATCCCAGTGTCTTAAGTTTTAGTTTTGTTTTAAGACAGGCTCTCATTAGGTAGCCCTGGCTGACCTGGAACTCTAGGTTGACCAGGCTGCTCTCTAACTCATAAGAGATGGGCTGCTTCTGCCTCTGAGTGCTCGGATTAAAGGCATGTGCCACCATGCCCGGTTTTCCCAAGGGTTTTTTAAATGACACATTTCATTTGTGTGCAAACTCACTTTTGTCCTTAACCAACTGTAAAATTACTTGTATACCAGAGAACTGTTTTAACATAAATTCTTTGATTTATTGTCAGCATATGTTTATTTATTTAATATCTATTTAGGGTCGTGTAAAAACTTCTTGGGACGGGCTGGAGAGATGGCTCAGAGGTTAAGAGCACTGACTGCTCTTCCAAAGGTCCTGAGTTCAATTCCCAGCAACCACATGGTGGCTCACAACCATCTGTAATGAGATCTGGTGCCCTCTTCTGGCCTGCAGTCATACATGCTGTATACGTAATAAATAAATAAATCTTTAAAAAAAAAAAAAAAAAAACTTCTTGGGTGAAAACAAATCATAAGTTTTTTTTTTTTTTTTGGTTTTTCGAGACAGGGTTTCTCTGTGTAGCTTTGCGCCTTTCCTGGAACTCACTTGGTAGTCCAGGCTGGCCTCGAACTCACAGAGATCCGCCTGGCTCTGCCTCCCGAGTGCTGGGATTAAAGGCGTGCACCACCACCGCCCGGCAAGTTTTTATTTCTTTTTAAAGACTTACTTGTTTTATCTGTATGAACGGTCTCCCTGCACGTATGTCTGTGTTCCACGTGCATGTAGTGGTACCTGGGAAAGCCAGAAGAGGGTGGCGATCTTCTGGAACTGTAGTTACTAGTAGTTGTGTATGGCCATGTGGGTGCTAAGAATTAAACCCAGGCCCTTTGGGGAAGAGCAGCAAGTGTTCTTAAACCATTGAGCTATCTCTCTAGCCTCAGCAAGAGGAACAAGTTTAAGAAGCCCTTAGGTTCGTTCATACAAAATCTAGAAAAGTCACTCATTCAAATACAAGTAAAAAGTTAAGTAGAAAACATACCAGAATAAACCATAATAAGTTCTAGTCTCAGTCAACTTTGGTTCAGGACAATATATAGAAAAATGACCTGCTGAGATAAAACTGACCAGCCGCATTGAGAAAGGGAACAAGGATGGGGTGTTAAAACAAAGTACACGAGGAGATGAAGTTGTGGTCTGTGGTGGTCTGAAAGAAAATGGCCCCCAAAGGGAGTGGCACTATGAGGAGGTGTGGCCTTGTTGGAGGAAGTGTGTCACTGTGGAGGTGGGCTTTGAGGTCTCTTTTGCCCAAGCTTCCCTCAGTGCTACTTTCAGTCAACTTCCTGTTGCCTGCAAGATGTAGAACTCTCAGCTATTCCTCCAGCACCATATCTGCCTATATTCCACCATGCTCTCCACCATGCTGATAATGGACTGAACCTCTGAAGCTGTACGTGAGCCACCTCAATTAAACGTTTTCCTTATAAGAGTTGCCACAGTCATGGTGTCTTTTCACAGCAATAAAAACTAAGACAGGGTCTATTCTAAAACCTGAACTGAAGAATGCTTTCTCTGGTTCCAGTTTTGTGTTTGTTGCAAGACTAGAGGTAGGTTGGGGAGATGGACAGAGAATAGAGAATGCAGCTTTCTTTTTAATCAAGACTCACTCACTATCATGTGACACACGGTTACCCAGGATGAGGTCAGTCACTGTCTTCCTTGGTGCAGTGTTATAGACACAACCCGAGGCATGCAAAGGTATGGCAGAGGGCACAGAACAGAGAGAAAGGCAGCCACGGATAGCTGGGGTATCCGGTGCCTAGCTCGGTCCTGAAGGCCCACCTCACCTGTGTGAAGTTGATTGGTCTGTCTTTGGTAATACAGTCAGCATACTTGCAAGCAAACATCCCACAGTCACTTCCATTCATCTGCTGCGGAATTTCCTAAAAGACCAACAACACACTATTTTTGCAAGCTTCTTTATCAATTTTACACCATTTCCCTGGATTTTGAACATACGACCTTGGATCGCCTATTTAAGACAATAAAGTTTAAGGGGGGATTTTTTTTTTTAAGTAGTATTTTAGTTCCACCTTTGTGTTTTACTTCATATTAATCATCTGGGGAACTATCTCAGATTTTCATGGTACTGAAGGGTATAAAAACTGGTCCTTCCACTAAGCATCAAACAGTCAAGTGTTTCTGACAGGAATAAAAACTCAGCAAAACAGTCTGGCATTTAGAAAACAGTTTTACATAGAAACATGTTATGAACTTTCCCACAAATAATTCACCTTCCTCGAGGAAGCAGACAAAGCTGAAGGCAGGCTAGACATGAAGCCAGAAAATCTCTGGGAATCAAAGAGATCAACCCTCTCCTCCCCACACCGTTTTCAAGGATTTATAGGAGATCCACAAACAGCAGATCAACCCTCTCCTCCCCACACCCTGTTTTCAAGGATTTATAGGAGATCCACAAACAGCAGATCAACCCTCTCCTCCCCACACCGTTTTCAAGGATTTATAGGAGATCCACAAACAGCAGATCAACCCTCTCCTCCCCACCCTGTTTTCAAGGACCTACAGGAGACCCACAGGAAACATACCTGGCTCTTCTTGCTGAAGAGCTGCCAGCCATTGGTGTCAAACTCTCTCCTCTTCTTGTCAACACTTTCTTGCTTTAGGTATTGCCTAAGGCAGTGGACAAGAATGAGATGAGCTGTGTAGAGCTCTGATGGTAGCTGCCACCCAGAGAATGGGGCTGGCAATCCTCGGAAGCCAACCCATGAAACTCCCCCCATCACCCACACTGCCAACCCAGGAGCGCCAGGACCTCTGCTTCTGATGGCATGATAGTAACAGTCTTCTTCCTAAAGTTCTTTAGTCTACTTACCTTCCTAAGGAACAACTTTTAAATACATTTCTTGGTTTGTATGGTCCTTTTAGTATCATCAATCTAATGGATAATTTATTATTAAATTATATAAATTATTAAAAATGTCTCCAGCAGTATCAGGGTATGTATTTTAACACTGGTAGGTTTGGATCTCCTTGTAAAAGTTCAATTGAAACCAACAATTTAACAAGTACAAATTCAAGCAGGGTGGTGGTGGCACAAGCCTTTAATCCCAGCCCTTGGGAGGCAGGCGAATTTCTGAGGTCAAGGCCAGCCTAGTCTACAGAGTTTCAGGACAAGCCAGGGTTACACTAAGAAACTCTGTCTTGAAAAACCAAAACCAAACAAACAAAAAGTACAAATTCACAAAGACTCCTAATTTTCACATGCATGTGTTGTAGTGTGACTGTATGCAGTTGTGTATGTGTTCACACACAGGTGGGCATGAGTATGTGTGTGGTGTACATGTGGAAGCCTGAAGTCGACATCAAGTGTCATCCTTGGTCACTCCCCAGCTTATTCACTGAGACAGGGTCTCTCACTGACACTACCAGTCTTGTTGGCCAGTTTGCTCTGCCTGCCAAGGCCAGAGTGAAGATGAAGCCATGTGCACACATCACTGATGTGAGTCCTGGAGATCCGAACCATGGGCTTCATGCTTGTGCAGCAAGCCCTTTAACCTCTGAGTTTCTCCCTAACCCAAGAGCATTCTGTTTAAGTATTAAACGCTCACTTTTCAGGAACATCTTCCCCACAGCCATAGACCAGATGCATAGCAAAAAAACAGGTGTTTTAGAAAGAGAAGCAATAGGGTATAAGACGCCTGCATTCTAATTTCCAGGTGAGCCACTCACTAAGTATTAAGACACAAGCAAACCAAGGTCACCTCTGTGGGACTTGAGTTTTCCATCTAAATTTCAGAAAGCTGAATTAAATGAGTTGTGTTGACTTAATCTCTATGCATATAGTTACTCTGTATTTTAGTGTGTCAAGACAGCAATTGCCCTCATTAATACATATTGTAGTATTATATTGCTAAACTTTGCTCGAATTTAAACTATGCATTTCTACTACATATGATGATGTCATCTGCCATGTTTCTGAAGGTCCCAGACAACTGAGTTTCACTGCCGGAGAAACAGAGAAAGCAACAACAATTTCGTCTTTCTTCAACTCGCACTCACAAGAGGATCCTGCAGGCTTCATTGTTTATTCCACCCATAGAGTCGTAGTAGGTGACACTTTTCTTTCTAAAGTCTATGACCTGGAACAAAACAGAGCAGTGAGGGCCCTGCTGTCGCACCAGCGTTTCCTCCCCGACCTTTTGTGACACCGTGAGAAGCTGGGGGATGTTCAGCATCGTACTATTTTAATAACGGTGGGTTGTTTACGGAGATGATGCTGGGGGCTCATCAACTGGTGGGCCTAGTGATTGGCCTGAAATTCTTTTCTACAGTTCAGTTTTCCCATGATCAACAACACATGATTCAAAGAAAACTAGTTAACTATCTTAAGATCATTTCCACAGTTTAAGATGATGATAAGATTCTGGGTTTGTCTTTGATCTTGATATTTTCTTTTTCAATTGGTATCTTCTAAATTCAACACAGAATATATAATAACTTTTATTAACATTAAATTAATGTATCCATACTCCCAGAGTCATAAAAACACAGAGAGCAAGCCACAGCTAGGCAGGAAGTAGTGGCCAGAGCTGGCAGCATCACGAACATGCTTCCCCCTTGTCTTATGCTGAGGCCGGTAGCCGGCCGGCAGCTGCCAAGGCTAAGCATCTCCTACTCTGATAGGAAATTCACTCATTCACCTGATTTCTAGCCAAGTTACCACTATTAAATCCTATTTTCCCCTGTAATCAAGCAAAGATGTAGAACTTATGACTCCCGAGGTTCTCGCTGTAGTTTTTTTTTTCATGTCATCAAAAATAAAATAAGAGCTACTCACAGCTAGACACCAGTGCACACCCAAGTGAATGGGTACCAGAAGAATGTCAACAGAAAATACATCCACTTTCTTTGTCCAACGTTTCACTGCCTGATAACCAGCTGTTTTTAACTTAGTGAAGAAGAAGGTATTAAATGCATGGACACTTGGAAACCCCGTCTCTTTACTGCGCTCCATCAGCATATTCATGTAGAAATTGATGATCTGTAGGAAGAAATCACACATGACAGTCAAAGCAGTGGCATAGCAGAAGAGCAGCCATACTGGATAACTAATACGCCATTAACATACCGAATAACTAATCTGCCATTAACATAGCGGATAACTAATCTGCCATTAACATACCGGATAACTAATCTGCCACTAACATACCGAATAACTAATCTTCCATTAACATATGTTTATGTGTTATGCTTTATGAATGCTTCAACAGACAGATTTAATATATCCAGCTTTCACTTACTATGAAGATTTTATCAATCATTCTCCTGACAGTATCAACAGAACAAACAGGCAGACACTAGCAGGACTTGTAGAGACCCAAGAGTCAGGAGGAAGGGGAGGCTCCCGAGGAAAGAAAAAGATGGAGTGCCCTGGCAGTTCCTCTAATATTTTTGTACTAAGTGGATCCTGAGCTCAGTTCTTATTGCCCCCCATACACCCCTTTCTCCTTCTCTTCTCCCTCCCTCCACTTTTTCTTTCCTTTTCTCACTCCCTCTGCTGAAACAGGGTCTCACTCTGAAGCAGACTGGACTGAACTCACTATACAGCCCAAGCTAGGCTTGAACCCATGGAACATCTGTTTGAGACTTGAGTGCTGGGATTAAAGACGTGGCATGTGACATGATCTCGTATGTAGACAAAATCCAGCTCCATATCCAAAGCTGTATCTGTCACACTGTGGAGGCACACTGCTTAGGTCTCAAGCAGATCTAAGCACCCAGAAAGCCAGGAGACAGACTAGGAAACCACCTGCAATAGCACAGCCATTTCACGTAGGAGCGAGACATGTACAGTATGAAACTGTTTGCTGCTAAAGACCTAGCAGTCAAGTCATGAGCATGAAGAATCTAGATGTTCAGCTTTCCCATCTCTTGACTGCATTACTCCTTCGATAGCAAGTGTGAACATGGTAAACTAAAATGCTTGATAGAGGAGATGCATGATTCTTTCTGTCAACAAGGCAATGTCTTCTCTAACAGTAACTATGCTGCCTGTGGTTCCTTTGGGTCCAAGACTCCCTGGTACTAAATCTTAAAAGTTACCAGGCCAAAAATTACGGCACACTTCGTTTACGTGGACAGCTAAAGCCAGGCCAGTGTCTGTCAACTGAAAGGAATGAATGGGCTAACTGAGCCACAGCCTGGAAATATGACTATGAAAACAGGCACATTTTTCAGAATGTTTTTTGAGGAATGGGAAAATGCCCCTGTCCTTTGACAAATATTTATACACCAGGATGCCAGAGCAGTGAGCCACTGTCCAGCAGCAGGGAACACTGCCAGGAACACACCCGAGCATGGTCTAGCCCAGAGAAAGGGCCTATAGATCCAGACACAGAGGCAGCTTCAGGGAAACTTCACTGAGGGCTCTAAGATGATGGGGGGCCAAGTCTGAAGACACTGTTCCGGCGGCAGCATAGACCCCGAGGAAGCAGAAGACTTAGGGTCGCTGTGGCTAATTCTATGTCCTGAAGCTAACTGGTTCTTAGTAATTTTAAATAATGAAAAGGAATCTAGGTACAACCAGATGGAATATTTTCAAATCTAGGTATTCAGTTTAACTGCCTGAAAATAATAATGAAAAATTTCAGCAAGCAGAGATTTCTAGATAGCAAACTACAATCTCCATTGAGAGAAAATTAACCAAAGGAATGGATAAGTTTCCTCTTAGAGAATCAGGTAGAATCTACCTAGTCTATTATGTTATCCATGTTATGCGTGTATATATATTATAAACATTATAAACATATATTTACTGTACCCAAAGCTACAGTACACAGGCAGATAACCTGACAATTACTGAGAGTCAAACGTTTTTGCAGGGGCTGGCGGGTTACATCCTTTGTCAGGCAGTGAGGACTAAAGGAAAAGGTGAAAGAACACGGGCAGAGAGATAAGGACAGCCGAGCACACAAAGCCAGGCAGCTCTTCTCTCCCAGCTATCTACCGGAGTGTTCACCTCTGCAATCGTTAGCTTGAAGCTTAAAAAAAAAGCAGGGGTTGACATGTTCTACATAAGTACCCTATTTTTCAGAAGGAAAAAGTTCTAAAGACTAAACGGTTTTAAATAGTCAGGTTTTTCCTCGCTCCCTGAAAGAACCAACTATAAAGCTGGACTGAGGAGAACAGAGAATCTTTTCTTCATTGCTTGTGTCTCGACCCCAGCCAACGTGTTTTTTTTTTTTTTTTTTTTTAATGGGGAGGGAAATGGCTTCTTCCCACTAGCCAATAGTCAATTAGCTCGATGGAATGATGTGAGTGCCTTTCCATTTTCCTGTATTCCAGCAGAGGGAGTTTGGTGGCCTCCACATTCCTTCCCATTAGCTGAGAATTTGCAAGATACAAGTCTCTCTCCTCAAGTGAGGATAACTGCCATAGTTCAGCCAAGACACAATCATACTCAAAAGAAGACACACAAAGACTCCTACATGTCATCCCACAGAGGGAGGCTGGGGATAAAGGAAAAGAAGCGAGCGAAGGGATCCTAGTGTTCAAGATGAGAGAGAAGCAGATGCCACCACGTGTGCCCGCTTTATGAGACCAAGGTCCTGTCCTGCTCCGCTGAAGAGCACTCTCTGACACACAGTCTCTTGGCCCAGCAAGTCTTAAATCCCATTGAAATGAGGGCTGAAGTCCACCAGTCCTGTGTCTGCTGTTTGTCTGGCCGCTAAAGCACACCTGAAAACCAGTGCTGGGTTGTTGGACCACTCGCCGCCCTCTGGGTCGCACACTCGCCGCCCTCTGGGACGCACACTCGCCGGCTGATGCCTAACAACTGCCTTCCTACTGTCTGAAGAGCCTTGGTCCGAGCGTCTGCTTGTCTATTCAGCCCTGTCTGAGGACAGGAGAACTGTTTACAGTGTCTTTGTTCCTTTTATAGTCTATCTGATGAGTTGCCAGCCTGAAGCCGCAAAGAAGCTTCTCTTTAAAGGAAAATTCAACAGTCTTTTCTTTTTTAAATTAAAATATGTATATTTATTTATTTTATGTATATGGGTGTTTTGCCTGAATATATGTCCATGTACCATTTGTATGTGGGTCCCCTGGAATTGAGTTACAGATGGCTGTAAGCTGCTATGTGGGTGCTCGGAAGAGAACCTGGGTCTTCCGCAAGAGCTTCCAGTGATCTTAACCACTGAACCATCTCTCCAGCTCCAGAAAACTCCTACAGTATTTTCAAATGAAGACTGGGCAGAGATATAAGGATTTTTCCCCCTGGATGTTGACACAATGACATAAACGATCGCTGGTATTTGTATGTTTTTCTTGCCCAATAAACTAGACAAATCTCGAAGTAAAACATTCTGTAGCAGTAAAGTCTTCATGTTGAACTCTTCCACGGTCACTCTCAACCCCACTGCTGGGCTGAGGAAGAAATGTCCCAACAGTCTTGGGCATGATAATAGTCCTGAGCAGACACTGAGACAAGAAGAAACAAAAGACCCCACTTGACTATTATGATTCGGAGATCAATCAAGAGCTAGACTAATATAGAAAATACAGCTTTCCTACTGTATAGGACTTTGTCTCCTCATGTGTACATTCAAGAACAAATGATCAGAATTACTGCTGAAGTTTTAAAGAAGGACAAGCAGGCAACACCTCTGTTTATGGAGAATAATTACTACTTTCCAAAGGACCTTGCCTAAGATCTTGGTTTATCCAAGGTAGCTTGGGGAACATTCCAGAGGCCAGCTGTAAGACGGGGAAGACGCCTGCCTGTGTGTGATCCTAGAAACAACAGCTCTACTCTGATGGCTTCATTCTCATGGGTGAATCACATCTAGCCCGTCTATCATATTCCCCTATCTAACTAGCTTTATCTCTCAGTATCTTTCCTTTTTACACAGATTATTTCTTCCCTATAAAAAAATTATTCTCAGGGTTAAGTTTTGTGGGCTGTTTCCTCTCTGCTGAGCATTACCAGGATCTACCTATTTCCTGGAGAGAATTATCCACTATAACCACTATCACCCACCCTTCCATTATGTGTGTGGGGGAGGGTGCTGAGGCTAAATCCCAGGGCTCTGTGCAGGGTAGGCAGGAGCTCTACCACTGAGTAAATACTATGCCTGGACTTCAACTAAATACTGTGTCCTAAAAGTTAGAATCCTTGACTAAAAAGCATGAGCTCCAGTTCTAGATCTCAATTCTGCCATAAAAATCCATTAACACGGTACTTCCCTATAACCTTACTTTTTTACTTTCCCACAATGAATTAAACAGGAATACTGTCTCTGTATACAAGGCTACTGCAATGGTGCAGAGCTGAAAGGCATCTCTCTCTTACAAATGGTAGCTCACCTGGTCAGCTGGGGCCTCAATGCATCTGCATTCTCTATGTAGAATACCTTAGTTCCTCCCTCTTCTCACACTGGCTGTGAGATTTCCCCGGACCTTTCTTTCCCAAGTGAAGTCACAAATACCACATCCTAGTATTTCAGGATTATTTTACTTCGAAAACAACCGGTAATAATCAGTACGGGATTGTAAACAAAGTAGACACCCCCGCACCACCCCCCAAAAGGGGCAGACACATCCTCTTGCTCGTTTCCAGTTCACCCATGTAAATTCGTTGTTAGCAACGCTTTGGGGACTAGGCTCTTGGGAGGACAAACGAAGCAGAGACGGACTGTCACGCTGCTGCTTCACCCTGGACTGAGTTCTGCGTATCTAGCGGTTACGGAGGGAGAGCGGAGTGTGGGAAGCTCAGCAGTACAACAGCTTTCTTCTTCCTCCTCTGACCTCCCCCAGTGTTGCTTCACGTTTTCAATGTGTCAGGAAAGTGTCTATGCATTTAGGCTGTGAAGCTTTCTGGGCAAACTGACCTCTATTACTGTGAGATTCCTATCACTGCTAACAGCCCTCACTAAAATAAACTTCGAATACTTTAACAGTCACTTTATTTTTTTTTAATTAGTGCTTGCATGGTATAACTTTTCCCATCCTTTAATTTGTAAACCTATCTGTATCCTTACATTC